TCTTAACCTTGACCTCTATAGATTAATCAAGTACCAGTTAATGTCTACTCTACGAAGTCCAGAGGACTTTGCGTCACTAGTTGCTCTTTTAGGACATCGGTCAGTTTTAATTTACAAATTGTTTTAGTCCTTTTTAACTTAGATAGTTAGTTTAGTTACCAGTGGTATTTACATACTTTTATTAATCAGAATAGGATATTATAATCCAATTGAGCAACCTTGCTTCCCATGGTACAGTGTTAAACAAATTTTCTTCAGTTTCTTAAAGCTTGAACTGGTTTCAAACAATTCGGCGTGTCATTATGGGGTAGAAAAACAATTCTTAGAGTTTTGCTCAATGTTTAGCAGTTTTTAGCAGAATACTGCTGTTTGAATTTCAAAGGCTTCACCGCATCTACTAAATCTGCTTTCAGGAACAAATTACTGTTTATTTATTCGTCTATTATGGTAAGTATATGTTGTGATAAGGTCGCGTATGAGATGATATACGCTTTCAATTGAGTATGATTAGGGTCAGACACATATTAATTTGGTCTTGTTGTAATTCGCTTCGATGGTTACCTTGCTACTGGTTGTAATCGTTATATTTCAAATGGAGAATTTATAGGTTTATACAAAAAACTAACCAATTGAGGACGAAAAACCTTAATCCATGGAACAAAATATGGGTAAAATTTTTAAACAAAATTGAAAAATTTTACATTGCGAGGCCAAACTGTGCATTTTGTGCATTGTAAGCGGAATCCGCAACAGGCCCAAATCAGATTTGTCGTGGAATCCGCAAAATTGCTACATTTGTTTGATATTCTTTGCTGCTTTGAATTCCACAAACAAATACCTAAAACACTGTACCGTTCAAAAATGCTCCAAATATAGGCGAATTTGCGGAATTCGCAACCGTATTTGCAAAATCCAGAACAGTTCGTGGAATCCACAAATTATGAGACATGTGCATAGTTGAATTGAGCTGTTGCGGAATCCGTAACTGTAAGCGGAATCCGCAAATTGTAAGTGGAATCCGCAAACTGTAAGTGGAACCCTCATTTTGTTTGCCGATTCCTTTTACATATATGTATGTGTAGTTGCGCTTAAAACTATATCTTTTAATTACTACGTTAATCAGCTACCGGTTAAAATGCCAAAAATTTGATCTCAACTCCTCTCAAACACCCAACTTCGATCTCAAATCCTGTCGAACATACCCAAATTCGATCTCAATTCCTGACAAACATACGCAACTTCGATCTCGTCTCAATTCCTGTCAAACATGACCAGTTTCAATTTCAGTTCTACAAATGTTAACTTCAATCTCAATTCCTGTCATCAATCTCAAATCCTTAAAACTTATTCATCAGTTCATTTCAAGCTATTCAATTAAAGTAAAAATATTTCAATTTGGCCATTTTGAAATATTTTCAAAATGCGAAACCAGAACATAGTTTGAAAAGGCAACATTTTCAAGACTATAAATTCGTGTTTTTGAACATAAAATTTAATTTAGCTTGATTTCAATTTTGGTAATTTGTAACTAAAACTAATATGCTCAAATTAGTAAAATAGATCATTTACTCCCTGTGAACAAAATGTTTTGAATTCACGCTCACAAACACAAAATCTCACATACAAAATTCCAAATTTTGAATCTCAACTACTGAATCCCAAATACTGACCTTATTCGGCGATATGTCAACCCAATAATGAAATAACCCAATTACCGAAATAGCCCAACGAATTTATTCGGCGTTGTGTTTCAAAACTATGATCCCAAAAATTGTTTGCAAATACTAAATTGTGACATCCATTGATTTAGTTAAACAATGCTTTAAGATTTGTTCGTGGGTTTCGCTGAAAATGGTTAAGTCCTTGCTTTTAAATTCCGCATGTGCATAGGCAAGTTCAGTAATAAACAAATTTCTGAATTCCTTTACAGTTTGCGGATTCCGCTTAAACATTTTGCAGATTCCACTTACATTTGCGGGTTCCACTTACATTTTGCGAAATCCACCTACAGTTGCAAAATCCAGAACAACTAGCTATATTTGCTTGTTGAGGAATCCGCAACAAATTAAATGTGCCGACAAAATGTACGTTACAAGTATATGTACTCGAAATCCACGTAAATCTTGTAAGTGGAATCCACTTACATTTTGATCCACTTACATTTTGGAAGTATATGTACGCGAAATCCACGTAAATCTTGTAAGTGGAATCTACTTACATTTTGCACAGTTTGGCCTCGTATTGTATTGCCTTTTGTAGGCACAAGAATCTGCCTTCTTGAAACTCTCCTACTATTAACTTTGTAAACATTTTTACAGCCTCGTGAATTATGGTTTAGATACCCGCATTGACGAAAAAGGATAAAAGTCGGTTATCTACAGAAAAATAGACAGATTTCTGATCTGTTGTAATGTGGCTAAAAGATTCGATTATGTAGTTTTAATAATCGGTTAAATTACATTTTGTTTCGCAAAAAGTTATACAGTATATTACCCGGGTTGACCAAAAATGGTTACCATACAATTCTCATAAATGGGAAATTTCTTTTCATACAATTCCATACAATTCCATGCGTACATGAAGGGAAATTGTATGATAGGTGTTTTCTCCATAGACCAAAAAGTTGTTTTTTGTTTCTAAATTTATTTTCTGAAAAATTTCGGGTTGTATTTGCACCCGAACACAAGTGACAAAGACCTCGGCTACCCAAAGCACCAAAAGTTGGGCGGTCTTACATTTACAATGCATAAAAAAACGACCTTAATTAACTTCCAGCTGTCTTTCACATATGCTAAAACAAAAGTAACAAACTTTTAATTTTTGGCAACAATTTTCAATGATGATCATTTTAAATTTTTGAATTTTCAAATTATCAGGCATTGATCAAGGCATACATAAACACGACATACAAAAGAAATATGAATTTTCAGCGTTTTGAAGAAAAAAATTAAGTGAAAAGAAAAAAAGCCAATATTATCGTATCCAGGACTTCGTTGTGCACACAAAAAACTGAATTTTGCATGCTTTTTTCCGAAAATATTTGTTTGCAAGCAAATTTTTTGGAGCTAATTTTCAAAATTACTTAGAAAATTTTTTTGTGTCGCTATCAAAAAATGCCAGTCATACAATTTCCATACATGGAAACTAAATGGTAAGCATTTTTTTTCAAATCAGTTTTTTTTAGTCACCAATCTGTTCAAATGTTCTCAAAAAGACGCAGAAATGGTTTTGTTTTTTTTTCTATTGTTTTTCGGAAATGTATGAGAATTATATGACAAGCATTTTCTCCATACACTTGATGTATGGTTTTGTATGATAATGATTTTTGTTGAATGGAAATGTATGATAAGCATTTTTGGTGTATGAAGGTCAACCCGGGTATCTTTGTATAATCCTTATCAAAACACTTAAAAATTGTTTTTTTACTGTACCAAGTTTCCTGTATACTACAGATAGATTAAGAACAGATTATATCCAGCTTATTTCACTTTTATATATAAATTATCTACATATTATAATTTTTTAATGCTGATTATCTACAGATTTTATACAGATTAAATACTGTCAATATACAGGTTATCTACAGATTTTATACAGTTTTTATAGAATAGACAAATTGATTATTTTGGCACAGAATCTCAATTATTTGGTAACTGTTCCGACTTTCGATACGAAAGTAACGGAATATTTGTGCTCGGGGTGGGCTTTTTTTTCAGACAAACTTCGACTTTTAAACTAGCCATTTTTGACGGAATTTTTTAAATCTTTCAAAAGCTATTGTTGTCTTGAGCTTAAATTTGAAAAGATATTACACAAGTGATAATTTTTTGTAAAGTTATGGGGGTTTAAATTTTGCCATTTTGGCCAATTTTGGACAATCAACGTGCGATATAATTTGCGTTATTAACGCGTAAGCGGAGATTTAATCCATCTTAGAAAACGTTCCAAATTGGTTGAAAGAAGCTTATTTGCCATAATTGATTTGTTACAAGGAGCAAAATCTAACCGTTGTATTTTATATGGCAAGTGGGTGGATGATTTTCGTTTAAAGTTTCAAATTTTAGAAGAAAAAAGTTCATTTTTTTAATTACATTTAGTGTTTTTGTTATTAGTGCTCCATAAACTTTAAAAAGCAGTCGGAACCTTCAGGGCTTCGCCCTGATACTAGAAGTCTTGTTTAATTATATTATCTGACGTGTTTTCTGTATATATTATTTTATTCATTTCGTCACTGCGGGTACGCATTCTTGTCTCAAATTCAACAGAGAAAATTTAATAGTTCATCTCCTTTACGCTCTCATGTTTTCTCTCGAATCACATAGTTTTTTTGTAAAACCGCTGAATTTTAAATCCAATTGTGGTTCCGTCCAATTGAAAAACTCTGAGGAAATTTGTATTCGGTTGTTTTGGATTTTTTTCTGTTTTTTTCCACGCAAAATCAGCCACCAATTCATTGGAATGATATGAGTAGTAATTCTTATTTAGACCTTTTTAGTCGCGATTCGAATGTATTTTCAAAAATTTCAGAAAATTTTCCCAATGAGAAAAACCGGCTTGAAATTTTTGATTTTTGAATCAAAAACTCTAAAATATTGAAAAAATGCAAGAAAAATGGAAACAATTTTTGGAAGTTTTTTGATTTTTTTGTTATTCTTTTCAATTCTCAATACATTTAATTTTTTAATTTGCTTCATTTCACTATGACTGTGGAATATGCCTAAATTCGAATTTTTTTTTCAGTTCTTTTTATCCAACCTCACATAAAAAACGACACTAATTTGAAGAAAAAAAATTGTGTTTTTCTTAAGACTATGGTCGGAACCTTCTGAGCAAAGAAAAAACCAGCTGTGCTTGTTTATTATTTAGTTTTGTTTGTAGTCGAATAAGCCGGAACTTCATACTTTAAAATGAGTTTAACATTTGATTCGGAACGGAAAATTTTCCGAAAGTCGGACCGGACCAAAAGCTTGATAACTAAATATTAAATTGAAATCGTTTGATTTAATTGACTAATCAGTGCAAACTATTTGAATTACATTTGATTGATTCGATATATCGTACTAAACAGAGTGATGATTACACCTCACTTAATTACTTGAATAAATTACTCGATTTGTTGAACATTGAAAAAAAACTGTTTTGCTTTATTACGCACAAGTATGTTTACATGGTCAAGGCGTCATTAGCCAATAAATTTGCCAGTCTGCAAATGTTTTCATGCTCCGCTTCACCTCCAGTTTCAATCAAGGAACTTCGGATCCTGAAACAGACAAAAATAAATCAGTCAGTTGCGAGACGAAGTGTGTGCTCATTTCTGGTTGACTAAGTCAAAAGGATTTTTTTTTGTAATTATTTTACGACAGCAATTACTGACCGCCGAACCCCAATTTTTTTTTCTAAAAGCGCCTTTAGCGCCAATATAAACCAATTTTGAGTGGGGACTACAATATTGAGAGGGAGCGGTGGAGTTTTCCCGTTTTGAACTTTTTCGGAGGTTTTGATCAGTTACCAGCAGAATTGGCCAATATTTTAAAATTGGCCTGTTCACGCCACTGAAAACAGTAGGTATTTTGAGATAAGGCAAGTTTTCGTCTTCTGCTTTCTTATTGCTTACATTTTTATAGGTTTTATAGATACTATAAGAATAGTATGAACAACAAACAAATTGGGTTAATACGAAACTTATTGGCTAAAAGCTGATTCTTCAATTGTTTTCAATTTTTTGTTAGAGAAGAAGCGGACATAAACAGAAACGAACACTAATACATTAGCATTAGAATTGCAATAACACTAATGTCTCGAAGCTTTTTTAAGTGATTTAAAACCAAATTAATCTGTGTTTCATAATTTTTTTAATGCAAGAACACTATCTAGTTTTGTGATATATGCTTCTGTATACTCCTAGACTCACTGAATAATCATTCGAACCACTCCATCTAAAAATTTAACCGAAAAAGAATGTAAAAAGTTGAGTCTGAAAACAAGTGACTATCATTAATTTCAAGGCAATGATCGAACAACACCTAGCTTCAGGGACGGATCTAGTGTTTCCTTTAGGGGATTTCAAAGAAAAAATTGAACTCTTTTCTCTTTTAAGGCCGACTAAATTGATTTTCCGAGATCTCTCAAAACACTGCGAAGACCCTAAAGAGCCAAAAACCGTTAAAATAGCCGTTTTGGGCAATTTTGAAAATAATTTGTCCGAAATAATGGACTTGCAAAAACCTGAGCAAATTTGAGCCAAATTCAATCATTAAAAAATATATATGTCGGTCGATCAAAAATGGACAAATACTAATTCAGCTTATTGCTTTTCTCAAACATTGCAAGTTGTCTTTTGTTATGATTTAAAGAGTACCAAAGCTAGGAATTGAGAACTCTTCACGTGATCGAATCCCTGGGTTATCCCCCCCCCCCCCCCAAATGAGCTACTGACGCGCACGTACATGGAATTTTTGTGCATTATCATTGGATCTCATTTTCAAAAACAGAACCCATAATCTTCACTTTTTTTCACTAGGGTCATTTCTTGTTTAGTTTTGCACCAGAAAATTTAGATAGAGATCATTTATTTTTCATTAAATAATTTTCAAACAAACCCATATTCTCTAAGACAAACTACTCTCGTTCCAATGCTTACAAGAAGCTTTTGGTTAGTTTTTGGTCCTGAAATGTTTTTGAATTGCGGTAAAAAAAAACAAGCATGAATCATGGTGAGCCTCGAACTACCAACCCCTGGTACAAGAGTTCAGTGATTTCATTGCAGTTTACCTTCGTTGGTCATTAGTGTAGTATGGTTCTCTTCCTCCATCGCCGTCTAGTTGTCTCTCCAAACTCCTCGCCCGCAGACCCCTCGATGACCCTCCATGTTGAACACCTCGTCTGTTCATTTGACCTTGACCTGAAATGAGAGTATTAGGAAAACATTAACTCAGTCTGGAATGCGGGGAAATGATAGACCGGATAGGACAGACTATGCTTTGACAAGCCTGAGAGCCTTTCATAGATCCTTTTTAAATCACAGGAAAAAAAAGGTTTTTTAATTCCGGTTTGATTATTCAGTACAGGTATGCGCAAAAGATATGTAATAAATTTTGTGTTGTCTAAGTTTTCTGAGTGATGACAGACCTTTGGCTTTTCTTGTAAACTACAGAACTTTTCTTCTAGTCAATTAAAGAACTGTTGGACTTCTCATTTGATAGTCGCCAAGTTTTATCCTCTGTTCTTAGGTTTTCATTCACTTTCTGATTTCGCCAATTTAAATAATATTAAAAAATTAATGAGTTTCATTAAATATCAATGTGGTACTATAGTAAAGTTATTCTATCTATAAACGACCAGTTCAATAGTTAGGCATATATGAATTTCGTACTGCGTAACAAATCCCCCCATTTGTAATGGGGGAGGGGTGTTATGTTCACAAGATTCAATCTGATCATGATGAATTCCACAACTGACCTTGACCATAGTCATGTCCTTCTGCGAACTCATTGGCCGACATCTCTGGGTCAGAGTCCCATCGGCTGTTCCTGCCTCCTCCTCCCCCTCGGGTGGGGTCGTGGGTGTTGTAGTTCCCAGATCCACCAGTCCCCCCACCTGCCGATTTCATTCGTCCATGACGGTCAAATTCACCACTCAAGCGTCCAAATCTGATAAAATATTACTTTGTTGTAGCTAATTCTAGGTTAAAACTAATAAAAAGAATAAGAATTAAGATGAATTAGTCGATAAGTTAAAACATTAAAACAATGAGAGATCATTCTCTCCGCCGGAGAGAATGGCTCATGAAGGTCATATATGAGTGACCGGTTAATTAACTAAGTATGTTTTGCAACAATTGCAAAACCTGATGTAAGATCACAACATTCCCCTAAGCAGGGAAAAATTTAAATTGCGAATAAGGTAATGCACTAGAACTAACTATGACTGACTCCTTTCTCCCCCTTTAAGGACGAGGGAAAGAAAATTAAAGCGCCTTAAAAATGAGGAACTGACACTAACTAAAGCTCCCTATAGCATTAAATATAGCTATTATAACTGCAAGAAAGATTATCCGGAATCCAACGGATAGGGGTTATGTTAAAGCAAAATAAAATGCGGTGAAGTTTACCCAACGTTTTATGGGTGGGGTCTTGCTTTGTAATAGGCTAACTGAAGGGAAGTCGATTTGGATGATTTATGAGAGCACACGATGATGTTTTCTTTTTTTTTTTTTGGATTAAGTTTATCCGAAGGATAAAGTTATTACGTTTACCGATCGACAAATTAATATTTGAAGATTAGCACCAGTTTATAAGGTAGTATGTGCTTCTTGGTAAGCCAAAATAACAGATTAGAGTATAGCTGAGTGATTACAAAGATTTATATTCTTTTAGAAAATTTTCAAGTTCTGTGTTGAAAAGTTCGCTATCGAGATCGGAGTGATCTCCAAAATTTTCTATTTCCATTCTCAGTGATTCGTCGGTTGATGAAGTTGACATTTGATCAGGTGATGTTGAATTTGAATCTAAGACAATTAACTCCGCCGGATTTGTCTTGTTGATGGTGTCGAGTGGTCCTTCAATTTCTATCACGATAGGATCGGCCGCCGAACCCGAGGCTTCTTGAACGTTCTCTACTGCATCAATAAAATAACGTTTACCATAAAATTTTGGTGGACCAACATTTCTACTGGAGCGGCGGATGGTAGGAGGAATTTTACCGGAAATGCTGTTAGGGTTAGCAGGTATAGTACACTCGTCAGGTAAAGTACACTCGTCGGTTGAGTCATTAATCTCGAACACCGGGAAGTCCGTATTTGAATCGTTATCCATTGGATTAGGCACGTCTTGCAGGTCCTGTTGTTCAATGGTGTCATTGTCCCTTCCCTGGTTTATGGTTCTCTGCTCCTCAGTACTATGTGTTCGGTTGGCGGGTATTATACTTATTGGTCACTCGTAAGATTGGTCCAAAGGTTGTTCTCTGCTTGGTTCAATGTCGTTTTCTAAAATCTCAGATTTTATTTCAGGATTGGTTATGGTGTGATTAGAATTATTTGCGATTGAGAGGTGAGGTGTAAGTGAGTCTGAAATAAAACGCTCTCTGGCTACATCCCTACAAGGGAAGCCGCCCGCTATCCATTCCCATTCACTAGTATCCGAAATATCCGAAGGAATTAGCATAGATTCATCCGAAGCAAGGTAACCTGGAGGAGTTGATGACTTCTTTGAGTAGCGTGTTTGACTTCTTGTAGTATTGCGTGATGACCCTGATATGCGTGTGCTAGTTAATTTGTCAGAAGGGGTCGGATCCACTTGTCTGGTCCTTTTTTTCGTTGGCTTTTTCGTTCCTGATTTACGTCTTACGCCTTCCTGTTTCTGACCTACTTCAACATTAGGATTAGGAAAATAGGGGAATGAAATGTTTCCTTTAAAAGGTCTGATTTTATTTGAAGTAGAAATAGGAATCGCAATGTCGGATTTTCGAATTATTTTTCCGTCGGATAATTTTACTGTTGAAGTAGAAGAATCTATAATTCTTTTATTTAGTTCCTTATAGAAACAGTCTCGGTTGATGTTACCGTTAGTTTTCCGAAGGATTTTACCTTTGAATGGACTTTTGATTGGTAGTCTATTTGGGATGATTTTCGAGGATGAAGCATAGTCCGTGTCGTATCCTTTTTCTTTCGGGTTTTGATTCTTCTTCGCTATCAAGTCGTCCTTGTAGCCATCTTCTAGTCTGTCGTCCGCATTCCAATCCTTAGCTCGTTCCTTAGACAGAATTGATTTCCCTTTGTCTAAAATTCCAAAGGAGGGTTTAACAGAGGCTAGTTGTTTCCAAATAGTATTTGGTTTTCTGTTATAGTGGATTTCGAAGGGTGAACATTTAATTTTTGATTGATAGGTAGAACGTAGATTCCAGATGATTTTTGAAACGGCACTCTGCAGTGTGCTTTTGTGATGTTCTTTTGAAATAGCCAGGAGTTTGATTTTCACAGTGTGTACTAATTTTTCAACTAATCCGTTGGAACGGTGGTCGCCTACTGTACAAAAGATTATTTTGATGTTGTTGGAACCGCAGAATGATTTGAAGTCTTGACTTGTAAAGCAAGTAGCGTGATCTACCCTTATAGAATAAGGTATCCCGTGTAAGAATATGTAGTCTTGTAAAAATTCTACAACTGTTTTTGAAGAAGTAGACGATGTAATTTTTGCCGACGGGAATTTAGAAAATCTGTCGATACAAAGTAAAATGTATTTCTTTGGCCCCCAGTAAGAATCCAAAGGACCCGCGAAATCTAAATTAAGTTCTTCGTTCGGTTCCGATAGTGGAGGAAGTTCACTAATTTGTGACTTAGGAATGACAGTTTTCAAATTCTTACCCGCCGATGTACATTCTGAGCAATTTATCCCGTGAAAGTAGATTTGCCTGTTAATATGAGGCCACCAGATGTATTGAGCCAAGTATTTCATTCCAAATTGACCTGGATGTGTTTCGTGGAGGGTCTTCATCATCGCGCTTCGTAAAGTGAATGGAATAACGAGTTTACCTTCCATATAGAGCAATCCGTCGGATTCGTGCAGGTCTCGGGTAAAATGTTTGAAATACGGAGAATCTGCATTAATCTTCTCCACCTTATTTTGAAGTGCTTTAACAATTGGGCTTAACAATTAGCTTAATAGAGCTACTAACTTGGCGTTAAATAAAATATTTAAATCCAAGGGTCGATCCGGCAACTTCAAGTTTTCGCGGTATTTTTTAACTAGATTAGCGTGGTCTGGTAAAAGTTGAAAGTCTTAATCTACGGAAATACCGGAAGTGGTGGGATTAATTACAATATTCTTATTATTCATATTAACAGTATCTACAGTTTTTTTATCTACAGGTGAATTAATTAAACTACAATTAGAGATTAAAAAATAAAGAAATGCGGAATTAGAAATGGAAAAAATTAATGTATTTGTATTAGAATAATCCGTTGGAATGCAATTTGAAGTACAAAATTCTGTTCTTTTGTGATTAAATGAGCAAATTGGAAAAGACGAGTTAATGAGTTTTAACACTGCTGCTATTAGGTAATTACGTAATAAAGCGTAATCGGAATTTTCCAGATTAAAACCAATGGCTGAGTATGTAGTTCTTATTTTCTCCGACGGATTTAATGATTTATCAATCTTATTAATGTTTGCTACTACGAATTCTTCATCGTAATGTGATATTGGAAGAACTTTTCCTGATGGAATTCTAGAAATAAGGTCAGTGAAACCCATGTCTTTTCCTGCGATATGTTTGATAGAGAAATTAAAAGGTAATAATCTGTCTACCCATCTTGTTAGTCTACTGTGGTAAGTTTTATTACCGTGGTTTGGTGATAAAGCGGATAATAAAGCTTTGTGATCAGTAATTGCTTCGAAATCTGATCCGTAAAGGTAATTCTTATAATGTTCAACGGCCCATACAACCCCTAGTAGTTCGAGCTCGTTCGTAGAATATTTAGACTCGTGAGGGTTTAAAAAGCGTGAAGCAAACGAGATTGTTTTCCAATCGTTCCCATGGAGTTGTTCAAGCGAAGCTCCGAGTCCATTATGTGACGCGTCTGTTTTTACTCTAGTTTTACGTTTCACGTCAAAATGGGTATTCTCTGTTAGGTTTACGATTTCTTCTTTAATTTTTTCAAACGCTTTTGTATGGTCATCGTTCCATTGGAATATTGATTTCTTATTTAGAAGCGGTCGGAGTGGGCTTCCTAAGGATGCTAAGTTTGGGACGAATTTAATGTATTGGTTTATAGAACCAAAAAATGATCGTAGTTCTTTCAAATTCTTCGGAATAGGTAGATCTTTTATGGCTTTCGATTTGTCGAATAATGGGGTAATACCTGATTTAGAGATTTTGACTCCCAACCATTCTATTTCTTTTTGAAAGAATTTACATTTTGACCATTTCACCGCGAAATTGTATTCGTCGAGGGTCGATAAAATTTTTAATACAATATTCTTGTGGTCTAAGAATGATCCTTTGGAAGAGATTAAAATGTCGTCCAAGTAACAGTTAGTAAATGGGATTGAACCTAATGTAGAGTCCATTACTCTTTGAAATTCGTTAGGCATATCCCCTAAGCCGTAAAAATCAGTTAAAAATTGGTAAGTACCCGTAATATCACCACCCACGATACTGAAGTTACATTGGTTACTAGTGAATTTATCTAGTGCTAATTGGCTGTACGCGTTTTTTAAGTCTAAGTTAGTAAACCACACTTCTCCAACGGAATCATTAGTAATTTGTGCCGCGACATTGTCTACCAGTTCGTGGATGTTTGGCATTTGATATTTGTTCTTGTAAATCTGTTTGTTTATGAACTTGGAATCTAAGGCTAATTTGATGGATTTATCTTTTTTACAAGTGATGACTATTGGGCTAATGAATCTGTCTTCATCGCAGTTTTCTAATTTTTTAATATGTCCTTCCGCTTTTAGTCTATTGAGTTCTGTCTTTACCGCGTCCAGTAAGTGAAGGGGGACTCGTCTTCCCTTTAGTTGGATTGGTTTTAAGGGTTCATGGAAGTGGGTGATTTTCATCTGATTTTTAATTTTTCCAATCCGAAGGAATAAATTTTTGAATGATTTTGTTATATTCAAAATTTCCCTATCTTGGTTTGTTTGAGAGATGGAATTTATTGACTTACACTGCTTGTTAGTCTGAAAGTGTGGGAAGTGTTTCTGAGAGACTTCTATCCCCACTTTTGGAAGGTTGTCGTTTCCTAAGATATTTCTCTCGTGTCCCTCGGTTAGAAAGAATTGACAGTCGTTGTCTGACCAACCATTTGAAAATATCGGAGGCTTCACCTTTCCAGTGATGTTTATGGCATTATCTGTGAATCCACAGTATAGGTCTCTAGTTGACTTATCCACTGGATAAATTTTCAAGTAGGGGTCTCGTAACTTTAATTCGTGAAGTACGTTTTTCTTAAGGAAGCTTACCGGGCTAGCTGAATCCACTTGAATGTTTAAAATTACTTGGTTTTCTTTTCCGAGTCCAATGTTCAATAGTTTTTTCAATTCTTTTCCATCGTTATCAAAAATCGTAGTTACAATTAGTACAGAATAATCGTCGTTTTCGCTTTGTCCAGATTCTGACCATGCGTTTATGACGCCACAACATTCTCTATCCATGAGGTCAGTATTTACATCCTGAATATCCGACGGATTAAAATCTGTATTATCTACAATTTGGGTATTTACAATGTTTACATTTTTGCGACGAGATCTACAAAGTCTGGTGAAATGTCCTTTGAATTTACATGAAGTACAAGTCGTGTCCTTTGCTGGGCAAACTGCTAAGTGACCTTTTGAGAATAATCCGCCACACTTCATACAGTTGTTACTCCTTTCGATGTTAAGGGTTGGTTCTCTTTTGACGTTAAAGTGGTTGCTTGGTTTGTGTACGGATGATCCGTTGGATTTAAAATTATTGGCTAACTTCAAGTCATTTAAAATTCCTTTTTCGTCTATGAGTGCTACATTTAGTGCTTCGCGTGGAGGGAGGGTTTCTGTTAACAATTTCCTTTGGATGTCGTAGTTTTTCATATTATTTATGAAAATATCCCTTATCCACTCTTCTTCTCCTGCGATTATGTCGCACTTTTTCGCCATTTCAGCTAAGGCACCCCAAAATTGTTCGAGGGATTCTCTATCTCGTTGTTTTCTATTTAACAGTTTATGTCGTTCAAATGTGACATTTGTTTTTCTTACGAAAGCGATCGCTAAGAACTCCCAGAATTCCTTAAAAGAAATTTGTAGGACTTTCACCTTGGTAAATTTTTGTCCGAAGATCCTTTTTCCTTCATTTCCCAGTGCCAGATATAAAACCGAACGTAATTTCTTGTCTGCTTCTTCGATTCGCATTCCGTTGAATTTCTTGGTTTCGGTTTTTATCGATGCTGTTTCTTCTTCGTCATATCGTCTTTGTTCTTGGGAATTTCTCTCCAATCTCGAGCGTCTTTGAGTATCTGTTTCACCGTCCGTTGAGTTTTCCAAATTTGGAGGTAGTGGGTGATGTCTCTCCGACGGATTGAGTAAATTTTCTATATCTATGTTTTCCTTAGCAATTATAGCTAATTGAAACAGATCACTCCAGTCTTCCCAAGGGATGGGTGGGTCTACCGTATGGTTTTGCCAAAAAGGAGGTATTCCTCTCAAGTTAGATTCGTTAGATGACTGCGCCATGATAAAATATTACTTTGTTGTAGCTAATTCTAGGTTAAAACTAATAAAAAGAATAAGAATTAAGATGAATTAGTCGATAAGTTAAAATATTAAAACAATGAGAGATCATTCTCTCCGCCGGAGAGAATGGCTCATGAAGGTCATATATGAGTGACCGGTTAATTAACTAAGTATGTTTTGCAACAATTGCAAAACCTGATGTAAGATCACAACAAAATCTAAAAATGGAAACTCTTTTTTTTTAAATTCACTAACAAATTTTCAAATTGTGAGTTTTTCTAAGACATCAGATCCTGAGTTGTTTACTGAGTTTTCACAATTTAAGCTCCACAGTTCAATGACATTCAAAAAATCTGTTCATCCCATTATTTACATTTACCTGTTCTTTTCCAACTCAGACTGCGACCTCGCTTTCCTCACCACCCCACCTTGTCCTCCTCCACTTGACCCCGGTTGACCTTTGACCCCTGGCCCTGCTCCAGTGAGTCTGTGCTGCTGCATCAAGTGCACTCTATCCAGATAGGCGTCTGGACTGTCTGTGTGTTCTGTTAGCAGGTACCATCTCGCTCGACCGTCCAACACTGTGTAGTCGCCTAAATCTACTATCACCTGCAAACAAAGGGTTCAATATCCATAGCAGTAGTGACCTTGAGACTTTCAGATCCTTCAAACAAGGTGTTGTGGCTATTTTCCTGTGTTGGGAAATGTCGCCTGGCCCTTAGAAGATGATAAATTAGCCGGTTCACCATCGCTCATCAATAACTTTTTCATATCGTTAATATCTTTCTAAAGATAAGAACACTGACGTCTCAAAATAAATTTCATGGCGTGGTTTTTTGAATAGTTTGTAAAAAAAACAGATTACGATGACGGATAATCGCCTAATTTCAAAAATATAAAGTGTTCCCCCCAACCTCTCCCAGGAAAGTGTTTGTCCTCTGTTTGTCGTAGTCCCACACCGTCAGTTCCAGGTACTTCCTGGGCAGGTGGTTCCGGGGCAGGAATCCGTACTCGATGCTCTGATTCCAGAAGGGGTGTAGAGTGGCACGGGTGTACCGGATTCGACGCTTGTTCTCAGGGCTAAAATAAGAAAAGGAGCATTAACAAAGAAGCAGAATAGTAAAATGAACACAAACCAAGTTCATAGAAAAAACTAATAAAATGGTTCCACTCTTAAATGGAGAAATACAAAATCATAATAACTGATTTATTGAAAAAAAAATCAAAAATTAAAACCAACGACCAATAAAACAGTTTTCTTTTCATTTTACAAAAATTATTCCCAAAAACCATTTTTGAAATATAATTGCTAAATGCTTATCTTTCCCCGACCATGGTCGCGTAATGTATCGGCCATGCTTACCATCTGTCGGGTAGTAAATAGACCTTGACGAATGGGTCTGCAGTCATCTTGGAGGAGGGGGGACTCAAGCCCTTGGCCTGTATTATGTCCACCACCAGCTCCTGCGTCTCATCCGAGTAAGCCACTGCTATCTGCATCTCTCCTGAGAATAGACCAATTTTTGACTTAAATGCTCATCTTTTTTATATATCAGCCAATTTAGCGTGAATACCGCGGGGTCCGGGTCGAAATTGGTTCCATGAGCCCAATTTTCTAAATATTGGGCTCCTGATTGGGCACCATTCGGTCCATTTTTTACGTGACAACAAGTGTATTTTTTCACATGGTCCAAGTTTTTACCTCTTATTTCCTCCTCAGCGCAACACATTTCAAATTCCCGACTGTGAGTGAGAGTAATTCGGGACTTTTGCAGTAAGGAAGGGTCTTGGAAGTCTGGCTGGGATGCCTGCCAAGTCGGGTTTGTTCGGGGGTTGTTCATCCGCTCCGAGTGAGTTATCGGAAGTGTACTCTGGAAAACAGGGAATAATGTTGAAACTATGTCTATCTTTTGCATGCCAAACATAATTCTGATAATTTTTTTTACAAATGATACAAAGTGCTGTTTTTTAGTCAGCCCAAAATGATCCATTTCTTAAGAAAAAAGAAACTCATGTTCTTTTGCACTTCGGATTATTTATATAAAAAAATAGGAGAAGAGTGCTGAAGTCAGAGGCGGATCTAGGAGTTTCTCGAGGGGGGGGGGGGGTGGATTTTCAAAAAAATTTAAAAAATTTTGTCTACCTTTTTTTTTAGGTCGACCGAATCGATTTTCTGAGCTCTCCCAAGTCATTATAAAGACCCCATTGGAACCTGATCTAAACTACATTTTATGATTGGATAAATTAGATATTTTACCACTGTAAAGTATTTAATATTAACCAATCATGATCCATCTAACTAACAACCCACTTATTTGTAAGTGCTGGAATTACTTGTAATTTCAGCACCAGAGAGATTTGAATTTAACTTAGAAATTAGTTGACTCTCCAAGAAGACTTCAGCAGCCGCAATAAACCAGTATACCCTAGATCTATTGAGCCTAGCAGAGACTAGTTAAACACCCTGAGACTAGATAGTATAAGAGTAAGATTAGGATCGGTATTAAACTAAGAAGTTGCACGAATCTATCCGGCCGAAAATAAGATAGCGTGACGAGCAGACGGTGTACCCTATCCGAAATTACTCTATGAGTTAACCACCTCGGTTATAACTCATCTGGTGCGACCATAAGTCTCGAACAAGACCTTAATAGCTTAGAATTAACCAAAAATAGATTAGAAATTAGACAAAACATTTTTAAAATGTTACACGACGATAATTTAATCGAAATGTCTCTACGACTCAATAGATCAAAGCCAATATTCCGAACGATAAGAGAACTACCCGGAATTGGAAGGAGACCTCGAACCAGAGACGACATACGACAAAGTAGAAACTTACCGAATAGTTATATGATAGTACGGCAAAAGCCAACACAAACTTTTATATTTAGAATCTTATTAGCAATGAATTTAGATTTTCATTTGCAAACTTAAATCTTGAAGTCAATCTTCATGATCATTTCAGGCGCTAAACAAAATAGTAATATACAATAACGATTGATAAAAAGATCTCAGATCGTTCTCCTAAAATTCTGCAGTATTCTATAAAACATATTTGGAAAAAATTTATTGAAAATCAAAACAAAAATTAGTAGCATGACAATAAACTGTTAGTAATCATATAATCATCAGTTGTCCCAGCTTCATCACCTAAAAAATAACAGCAATCATAAACTCACTAATATCATTAAAACACTAAATCTTTTTCTTAAACAAATTTAAACCATTTTAAACTTAAATTCACTTAATTTTAAAATCGGATCATCAAGGCTATCCTTGGATCTTAATTCATTTTCTATTTAATTAAATTTAAACTTGATCATCAAGGCCTATCCTTGGATCAAAAAGAACAATTTTGTTCTCCCCCACCCACTTAGCTAGTGTCTAACGACCTCAAACGTCGATTCACTATCCAACCCTTTCAAAAAACCCAAGACTAATAGAAATTTTTCAACAAAACTAATCATTCAAATTAGGATAAACAGTGAAGAACTTCGGTTATTCATCCTTCACTTGAACCCTCCTCTTATCAAGACCCAGGATAAATCTTAGACTTAGTAAGTTTAAAATAGTATCTAACGAACTACTCGCGTTCTAATTATACCTGAACCTCGATTTACTATTCTCCAACCCTTGAACACAATCACTACCCTTAAGTAAGATTAAGTAAGTTAACACCTTAGCTTATACTAGCCACGAGAAAGTACAAATCCTTCTTCGGAATCGATATACTTTTCTCTCCAACCCTGAACAAATAGACCCAGGTTAAGCTAACCAAAAAATCGTAAGGACTAACAATTTAAGAAAATAGAAATCATCTAACAACTTTTTGCATCCGTCATCCTAAACCTTATGTCATTTAAAAATCTAGGAAACAAACAAACAATCGTTTTGCACAACTGTGAAATAGAAAACAAAAAATACGACCTTGTAATCACACCTCACACACAAACAGTTGGATATATTAGAACAAAACGACAAACACTAAAAAGAAAAATAATAACTAAACAAAGACAAATAACACGAAAAAGATTTTCCAAAAATAGAAACGCATTTTCAGAATCAGAAGCCAGCAATTTAGACGAACTCAATTTAGAAGCCAGCAATTTAGACGAAAAGCAATATAAACACAAACCAGTACATTTATACAACTGGAATCAACCAATTAGACACATCGATAATTACCTATTAACAGTCATTAAACAAAAAAATGAGCCAAACACACACTCCAAGTGAAGATAATCCAGATGATGACGATATCTTCCCCTTCCTTGTAGATGCACCCACTGATAGAGGACAGCATATACTTTGCAAGAATTTACTACTAAATTTATTTGAACCCGGAATCAGCCCATGTAAAGCAGAGTTCCCCGATGTAAAGATCAAAAGACAAATTATTGATCACTATCTGAAAGATATATGTAATCTGACACAACACTACGGAATCTACACCATAGAATTCACCTCACCAAACGCGAATCACCGCAAATATGTAATTCAAACAGACGACCTTGATTTAGAATTTTCAAAAGTATTCTCAGAATATATAAAAAGCATACAATATCATAACTCACAAAGAGCAAACTCCATATTTACTAATGAAGTTTTTGCAATAATATATAGTTATATCTCAATATTAGAAAACGAAATCCCAATCTCAAATGTCTCACCGACAGAGACATCCAAACATATAAAGGTACGACATGAAATCACACTATTTTCAACTTTTCTACATACAATTAAAGAAAATTTCACCAAAGATGATGTTTCACAACATACAAAACATGATTTACAAAAAATTTTGGCATGGTTTATAATAGATTATTTCACACATAATATAGATTTAATTTCACAAGCAAGAAAAATTTTTAGACCTCAAAATTCAAACGATGATACCGCCATCACAGAACAGTCAGACTACGTTTGGGACCCCGAATGGTCTCATTATGCATTTATAAATATCCCACAATCAATTGCAAGCCAAGCAATAAGTACAATATCTTATATAAGAGATTATGTAAGAGTAGTACCATTAACCATTGACGCAACACCATTAAACTACAATACATTTTTACCTGATACTCGAAATAACAGTTTAAATTCGACCGTTATACACAATGAAAACCTTAATGGAACTAGAAATCTCACTCAACAAGATATTCAGACACCATCACACATCATAAATGAAGAAATTGTCCAAACAACAACAACTACAGAACAAAGTATTTCACCAATACGTCCAAATTTAACAACACCAAGAAATACAAACACTTCGCTAGCACAGGTAACCTTACAATCAACCGTTAAACCTTCGGTTGTTCCAAAATATTCACAAATGGATTACCAAACATATAGACCCATGACAATACCGTCAAAAACACGCAGAACATTCACAAGAAACAATTTTGCGGAACATAATTATAATTATACACATTCATCAAAAACAAACTATCCTCCACGAAATAACAATAATAATCAAATCAGATCTCGATATTGGAATAATCCAATGGCAACAACCAATTCAGTAAATTTTCAAGCTAATCCACATCCTCCACAGGATCATAGTGAAAATTACCCATTCTTTCAACAGAATAAAAATAATAAACAAGCACCTCATCAAACGGATTACCTATCCTCAGATGATGATCATTTACAACCAGATATATTTGCACCATATACCCAAGAATATCACGGACAAGGAGTGCAGAAACCATATACACATCATAGAAATTTTTCTCCACATCAGATAGATACACAAAATCAACAACCAATACAAATGCAAAACCCAATTAATACACAATCTTTTCAACCAATTCAGCCACAAAACCCAATGATTACACACTCATATCAACCAACACAAATGCAAAATGAAATACCACTTCCATATTATCTTCAACAACACGAAATAACAAAAAATCAACTTTCTAATTTTTCACAAATGCCAAATGCAGCAGAATCATTACAAATGACAATGAATCCATACCTTATGGGTGGATCATCAATAACATCAAACAAACCATTAATGGTATTCACAGGAACAGACCCTGAATATTCTGTAGAAGATTATTTAAATGCAGTAACAGCAAATTTAATTTTAAATATAGGACCTGAACCAATTAATACGCCACTACATCAAAACTGGATACATCGACGCACAGCGTTGATACAGACAACCCTAGACGGCGCAGCCCAAAAATGGTTTTCAGTATTGCCTATAGAAATAAAATCAAACTGGAAGAGATTTACACAAGAATTTTCAAAAATGTTTGACTCCGAAAGAAATAAACAACAACAAAGAGTTTTATGTAATGAAATTCGCAGATTACCAAATGAAACCATCAAACAATTAGCAGTACGTATCGAAACACTAGTTCGAAAAGCATATTCATTAAATACACACGATTATAAAAACACAAAAATGACAGAAATCTTAATGATGACCTTAACACCTCAATTAAGGAAAATAGCAATAAAAAAGAGTGCATCCCATCCCTCCTCAATTCGAGAGCCCGATTTAGATTTTCGAAAACTAGTAGACAAGCTAGAGCAAGCGGAAATCACAATGAAACTTGAAGAAACAGAAAATCTGAAATTACAATACGTTAATCCAATTGAAACAAATACCACAAATATCAATAATATACAGGATTCAGATACAAACCTCGTTGAAAAAATCACTGAAATACTCAATATTTATGAAAAACACCCAAACTTTAAAGGCAAACCATCTTTCAAAAAATGGTGTAAATATTGCCGACGATACGGACATAGTATTTCTGAATGTAGACAAAAACAACAGGACAATCAAAACAAACCTCAAAAATATAAAGAACCGAATAAATCATTCTACCAATACATGAAGAAAGAT